TCAACTGTTTAATAGTTTTTCCCAAATAGAGGAATGTATGATATAATGTATAAAATCTACAGACACGGATTTGTAGATTACTCGCGCGAAACGACACGTAATAACGATGATAATGTTGGTAGATATAAAAGATGCGCTTTATTGGCGTTCGCACTCACCTCAGCGGGAAAAGCGTAGTTATCGATACGATGCTCCGAGCCGTGATCGTTATCCATCCCGTAGTGAATATAGATTTCTTCGAATTGATAGTGATACGCCAACGGTCCACCCGTTATATTGACATGAACCTTCGCATCTCGGTCCGCTCTGAATAGCAGGACTTGACCGGTATTGTGCAACTGCCCGGAAACCTGGAAATTGATCGAGGTCTTTAAATTCTGTTCAAAACACAGAAATCAAGAATTCATCGAAATTTCACAAATTCCTTCTTACTTCATACTTCCATAAATTTGAAAACCAATAGAGCTTACAGAACTAACATAATCACAGCCAAAAAAACATATCCAAGTACGAAAACCATTAAAACCACATTTCAAGCAGCAAATAAATTATACATTGAACGGACACTTCGAACAACTTTAACAAAGAATATAATTATTTATCTTGGAATGTGTTTTCCCTAGTTCATAGTCATCTCCCTTATACCATTCAATGATCATATAAAATCCTAAAGAACAAGATAATCCCACAGATTCTAACAGTTCTGAAGAATCATAAGATATAAATCCCCATTGCCGAGTTCCTTCAATGAATCTTAAAAATGGTTCACAGTTCTTTTCATCCGTGTTCGTTTACTTCTCGCTTTTCCGTCGTTCTTTCGCAAGCGGCGGTGGAAAGTTAGGCGAATAAAAAGAAGCACCGGGAAACAGGTGAGGCGATACGCGGGAAAGGAGAAGGCGGCGCGATGCAGCGGTCGAGTTATAACTAAAATGGCGTAATTCTGTTATGTCGCACGCGAAACGCAATTATCCCGTATTACGAGTCCGAGCGAATCATTTTCATTTAAATCACCGTTATGCCCCGGGAAACTTCAGCCCACGGTCGCCCGTTGCATCACGGTGTCCCGTGGAAGATGTCGGACGACTGTTCATTCAGAAAGTATTTTTCCTTAATATTTTTGCATTATTATAAACTTCATTGGCAATTTGGGAATAGAAACGTTTCGACGCGCGCGGTACGTCTTTCCAGCGCAAGGGATTAAAGTCCATTATAACGACGGGCTGTCTCCGATCGATCGAGGGCCACTCTTGCTTTTTAAAAGTTGACAACCGTATCTCCGGCTAATTTTGCTCCAGCAGCGCGTTACGAAGTAATGGATCCATGAATTATTCAACCCTAAGTGCACGCTTCATTTTGTAAAATAATACATTCGGCCTGAACTTCGGGACGATCCGCGGAATTTCAAGTACTTCGCTAAGAAAATAGTTGTAATAGTTGTAAGAGGATTACTCGAGTGGAGGGTGTGTATTATAAGTTGGATAGTTGTGATTATTATTCGGGAGTACGCATAGGAGATTATTCATAAGATTTTTTCCGGAGATTCGTCGATATTTGAAACAAAAGGAACCGGATCTGGGAGATTTGAATTTGTTTTATGCTACTTCCATGTAGAATAAATATCTAACAGCGTTGAATTGCTTAGAACTTAAATTTCATAAATGTAAATATATAAATTGTTATAATTAATAATTTATCAAACGTACCAACTTTTAGAATTCTTACGCAGAAAATAAAACTCATTATTGAAATTTTGCGAATATCACTTTACCTATTTTCATAATTAAATGTTAGACTCTTTGATTTATATAATTTTTATAAGAAATATACTTCTAATGAATAATTTCACGCTATAAAATCTAAATTTTGCAATGTGATCGTTTTTATATGTTATTGTAAGTATTTCAATAGATGATAAGCGATGAGTGATTTTTTCTAAGCGACTATATTAACTGGAAAAAAATATTGATTGCAAGAAACTTTGCCAAACGCTTCGCGACAGTGCTTCAGAGTCACGGGGCTGCGTACAAAGCGTTAATCTCGCGTCTGGGTCGCAAGTCCGGGAGATGAGTCTGTACACGGTCAAGGCTTTACGAAATTTCACCCCATTCCCTAAATTACCTCCCCTGTGACTCTCTACCTTGGATTCTGCGGTTCTCATTTTCGGCCTTTTCCCGTCGCTAAGCTTCTAATTAACGCCTCATAGAGACGCGCCGGATTGAATCGTCGAACACGATGAAATTTCACGCGGCAGGAATTTTATTTTCATTTAGGCAACGGTCGAATTATTAAGACCTCGGATATGCGAGCGACGAGAACAATTTCGAGAAAAATGTTGTGGGTGGCGCTGCGCGAATGTGCGAAATTAATAAAGTTCGAATTTTTAGAAGATTTATATCTGCGCAATATTAAACTGGAGATTAAGGGGATCACGATTTCATAAAATCTGAGATAATGCGCGCACTGGTGAATTGATTAAACGGGTATTATTCGTTGGTAGAGGATTTTGAACTAGTAACAGTAATAATACATAATCTGCAGTAACTTATTAATTAGTAATCACATAGAGCCATATGATAAATCTGATAACACCGGCAAAATGATTGATTAGTTACCCAATTATGCCAGGGTAATTAGTGACATATTCGGTTAATAATTAAAAGTAGTAAATCAGTTGCTTACTATTTGCGCAGAAGAGAATGCGATAATTAACGCGGCCGAAACAAAGGGACGCATTAAATCACTTTGATATAATATTAGGTAGCAATTTATCGGCCATCGCAATCGTGATACGATGAACAATATACTAAACGAACAATCGAAAAACATACATTAATCTTTTATTACGTCTACATAAAAGACTTCAATAATTATCGAAATTAGAATTAAAACAATATGAAACAATCGAACAGTACCTCAATGTTTCACAAATAATTACATATTAACCGATCGATCTATTTTCTTAGCGTCATCTCGTTTCTTAGAGAATGACTAATAAAATAACAAGAGTTGATAAAAATCTTATTACAAACAATCTGTCGCCAGTCTACGTATTTCCATTTTTTAAACAATACTATAAACTTTGAAGCACGGCATGATTGAATCAACTAATTCAGAGCAACTCGAGCTTCCATCCAATTCGAATATTAGATTCGATCGGTGAATTAGTATTAGCCATGTTCGGGCAAACGATCGAGTCGGTCGTGCGCCGAAAAAGAGAGGCGACCGGTGTTGTTGTGATTTCAGTGCTCGTTACCCGGCTCGGGAGGCATGAAAATTTCACGAAGACGTGCCGCGAATCCGAAGAATCGTCGCCGTAAATGGAATCCGCTCGCGGAAGGGCGGTACGCGCGGCGCGGATCGAAACGGAACGCCGGAATATGAAAATCGGGTGTCGGCCTAAGTAAAATACATCGCGGCCGCGCCGCGCGACAGGAATTTGCGCATTGACGATCAGCGGCCGGGAAAAAAAGGAGATTTTAACGAGGTGGAACACTTCCCACAATTTATTGAAATTGTTAGGCGCATCGATAATCGATACACTGGCCGCTTTTTATCGAATTTAATATTTGACTCCGGGGGAAATAAAAAGCAGGCGGTCCGATAATATTTGCCATTGTCGTTCAACTTCTTTCATCCCTTTTTTGTCCCGGAGAACTGAAGCCGTTGGTTGTCGTGATTAATCGCGAAGCATTAATAAAGAAATGGAATCGCGTTGAAACGATGTATTCAGTTCAACTGCGTAACTCTTGAATAGAAGATAAAGGTGTGCGAGGTGTCGAAATTGGGGTGGAACTATGAGAAACTGATTCTATATGAAAAACACGAGTTGTAGGTGTAGAATAATTTTAGCTTCTTTGTTAGACTTTGTTTCTGAGGTAACAGCGTTTGGAAATCAGTAATTTGTGCAAGTATAGACTATTGCTGTGAATAATAGAATTAATAGTAGAGTTCATAATTTACAATTTATAAATACTAGCAAAAACGCCTGTTACCGATACCTATCGAAGTTCACCGGATTGAACACATCGAGACTCTCAGTGCCCACTAAAAATTCACCCGCGATCATTCAAAGCTCAAGGAAATCAATGATCGTGCCGTACGCCGTCTTCAGAAGAACTCCAAACCTCTGAATACAATACACAAACCGTCAGAAAATCTTCCCAACGCGTTCCAATCGACTTCTCCGCGAATTCCCCGACATTCCCCGAATCACAGTGCCCTCGGCGACAAATCTCCGCGTATAAAATCAATCTCGCGCGGAAAAGCAGCCCGCAGACACGGAAAATGCCGTTCCCGGGCTTCAATGCCGCGATAATTCCGTCCGGGGTCTCGAAAACGCGTCGCAGCGGCGTTCGAGCAGGAAGGCGAGCGTGTTTCGGTAGCCGGGAGCAAGAAAGGGCGTGAACTCGGTCCCCGGGCCGGATAATTGATTAGGCATTTAATTGGACGGAATAGCAAGGCCAGACACCGTTGCGCCGTGTCGCGCGGCGCGGCCGGGCGCAAGACGAGGCCGGGAAGTCCATTTTCTTGTACGTCGCGGGGAAGCTGAATTATGGCGTCATCAGTTAGAAATAATGAGGTAACCTCGGGGAGAAGCCAGTCCCGCGGACGGGGCGTCGGCAAAAGTCGCCCGGAGATGACTTATTATTTTGCAATAGATTCCCCTTCTCTCTTTCTCTCCCCCCGTTTCCCTGTCGCTCTCGCCGTCTTTCGTCTTTCTCCATCTTCCTCGTGTCCTGTATCTTTTCTGTGCCACCTTTCCGCGCCTTTCTCACTTTCCGTCCCGTTTTCATGGAACTACCGGTCGCCTTTATCCACTCCTTACGTCCCGGCGACCCATTAACCTCTTGCCCTATGACTCCTTCCGCGGCTGTGCTCGGCGAAACTACTTTAACCCGTTGTTTTATGGTTTCTTTCAGTGCTGCGCTTGATGAAGATAGTTTATTGTCGATGATTCGTTGGGGGAGTGGATTGAGGTTAGATTATTGAGAGAATGTTTATTAGAGTTGTGGCGAAGTAAATGAAAGGATGCCTTCGTGGTAATATGGAAAGAGCTGTTAATAGAGGTTGTTAGGTTTGGAATATGTGAATAATTCTGAAATTATCATGGCGTGAGCAATTTTGTTTTGAATATTTCTTTTGAGAAATTTATAATGTTCCTAAGGTGTATTCATTTTGATAAGTTAAATTCCGAGTTTCGATGTGCGTGACGTTTCTAATGTTTATTCGTACGTTGCAATCTGAACGACGTATTGAAAAATGAACGAGACCACCTCTCGGCTATTTCCATCTCGTCATTGTTATTGCATTTTTAATGCACCTCAGAGCTTCTGATGCATTCGGTCCCGTT